GGGTTTGGATGTAGATCTGTTACAAAAATATTAGAAATACTTCTCAGACTTCTCCCCTGCATCGTATAAGTCTTATTCTCATGAAATCTCGAGGATTGCATAAGAATGCTTTGTCTCCACCTGCATTTCCCTTATAAACGATTTCTGTATAGCCTTTCTTTCAAGTTTATTCCACTGCTCTACTAAAATCTGCTGGCCTCTTACTTCCTGATAGTCTTGATCATGCAGGACTTACTATCTTTTTTTTTTCTCTCCAAATGTGGTAATCACTTTACAGAACGTTTAGAAGACCTAAGTTAAAAAAACAGGACTTGGGTCACATTGGAAATCAATCCCAGGCTTTCTGCTTCCAGTCCCACACCACAACCACTACGCTATGTACCAGAGATACCCAAAAAGCAGTCTGTGCCCAACAGGTGGGCCTGCCAGGAGCTCTCCCAGCACGGGACATGGGGTGGGTGGCTGCATAGAGGGCTCTTGCTTAACCATCAGCTTCAAACTCTTGGGCTTTCCAGTCTTTCTGTGTGGCTCCTTTGTTCCATCTACATGAGTGGAAGTCAACCTCTGATTACTGGTTTTGTGTGGTGGGGTTTTGGTAGCGGGGGAGTGGCTACAGGGGTGGCTCCTGTGAGAAACTGCTAGAAGCTTCCCCAGCTCCAAGTTGGACCTGCCTCTGGCCAGTGTTGAGCCAGTCAGCAATGGTGGTAGAGCCTCTGGGATAACACATTTAAGAAGGGGACAGAAAAACTGATGGGGAACTGTCAACAGAGAGAGGAGTGAGATGTGAGTGAAAAACTCTGCAGACACCAAGGTCAGTAAAGAAGGAGGAGGTGTGCCAGAGCTGCAGCACATGGTGAGATGGCAGACAGCCCCCCTGCAGCCCATGGAGATTAACGGTGGGGCAGGGGTCCACTCCCAGCCTGTGGAGGACCCCATGCTGGAGCAGGTGGCTGCACCCAAAGAAGGCTGTTACTCCTTGTGAAAGCGTGTGCTGGAGCAGTTTGTTCCTAAAGGACTGCACCCTGGGGAGGGACCAATGCTGGAGGAGATTGTGAAGAATTGCACCCTGTGGGAAGGACTCACATTGGAGAAGTTCATGGGGAACGACATGTCTCCCTTGGGAGGAACGCCATGTCTCCCTTGGGAGGAACGCCATGCTATGGAGCACTGGACAAATGTGAGAAGTCCTTCCCCTGAGGAGGAAGGAGCAGAAACATGATGAACTGACCACAGTCTCGTTCCCCAGTCCCCTGTGCAGCTGACAGGGAAGTGGTAGAGAAATTGGGGCAAAGTTGAGCCCGGGAAGAAGGGAGGGGTGGGGGGAAGGTGTTCTTAAGGTTTCATTTTATTTATCATCCTCCTCTGATTTGATTGATAACAAATTAAATTGATTTTTTCCCAAGTCAAGTCTGTTTTGCCCCAACCATAATTGGTGATTGATCCCTCCTTGTCCTTGTCTCAACCCATGAGCCTTTTGTTATATTTTCTCCTCTCCATCCCACTGCAGGGGAGGAGTGAGCGAACAGCTGCGTGGTGTTTAGTTGCCAGCTGAGCCGAAACCATGACACCCTGCCTCAAGCAGCTCATCCCATGGAGGTAGGACAAGTGCTAGGAACCAAAGTGGGACCATAAATGCAGCAACACCATGGCTGGTCTCAGAGGAGACCAAATTTACCACACGTGCAACACACAGCCTGTCCAAACCCCCATACCTCCACTGTACTACACTTGGTTGTGCCACAGATGCAATGCTCAGTTTTTGTTTGCTCCTTAAAAGAGTCATGAATGCACGAGGGAGAAACTGTGTCCTGACTTTCTTAATCTGAGACTGCAACACACGGTTTTCAGACCTAAGCCAAGTGATGGCAACTCTTGCTGCTGGTGCATTAGGCAGCTCTTGGGCTGAAGAGTACACCCTGCCCATAACACAGATCTTGCCGGAGAGATGGACAAACACCTCAGGAGGCATACAACATGCCTGCATTTTTCCCATGACCACTCTCCACCCTCCACATCCATACACAAACAAATCATTTACCTCCTCTAAAAAGCCATCTCTACCTTTACAGATCACTTCAATATTAGTGCAGAGGGTTGTCATAAAGGAACCTGCTCAGCCTCGAAATTCAGGATTGTAGCAGGATTTTTTTGTTTTTACTTCTTGGCTGACTTGAACTGTGATTGTTATGCTTTAGTAGCTCTGAATAAAAATATGAATTAATTAGAAATTCAGCTATATGAGTAACAATGGTGAAAATAACATGTGATTCAGACATGAATCAGTTTGAGCTAGAAAGAACCACATTCAAAACTAGAGGTATGCAAAATGACAATATATTCCATAGTGAAAAATTGGTAGACTAAATCTAATATTACCTTTTTGCTATATTGCTAAAATATTTGAAATTCTTTAAATTTAATTTGACAGCCTGAATTATTTTCTGTTTATTCTGCAGCAGCTACTGCTCTATTCCCAATTTATTTTCATGCTAGGATAGACAGGACTTGTTGAGAATGGGGACACAAAACCCATAGGAGGGCTTGGTCTTTGCAGGGTACATGATCCTAATGCATAAAGAAAACTGTGTTTAGGGCTGCTGGTTTTTTCTTGTTGATAAACAACTAAAAATATCATAAAAACAGATAGTCAAAGGTCATTATGTCTGCTTGGTTATATATCTAAAAGTAAAGAAATCTCAAATAACTGCACTGTCTTCTGAGATAAAGCTCTGTCTTCTACAGTTATTCTGCCAGAATGGCTTTGATAATGCCATTAAAGGGCTTTTTGATAGCCTCAGACAAGAGTTGGGTAAACACAAGGCTCATGCCCTTCAATCTCCCACAGTCTGATAAAAAAAATCAGTGGTTTGGCTATTTCTTCATTGGTTTCAGTGGAATTACCATGGCGTATAGCCCACCAAGATGTCTGTAATGATTCCTAAACTACATGGTTTGTCATCTTTGTACAAAAGCATGCCTGACTTGGTGTAGTTGCACCTGCTATTCTTTTGGCACCTTAGGATACCAACATGGTTCTCTTCCTTCCTGGAGGATCTTCCCAGTGATAGAGCTCAGAGATGTCAGAGCTAGTTCTGAGCGTGCTGAAACACCTTGATAACTGCACAGGACAAAGATACCAGTTTTGATCCTAGAGTCAGTGATGTGGTTTTGCAATCAAACCAGGGTCCCAGGGGCCTCGCTATCTGTCCATGAAGACTTGCCTTTGGAGCAGAAGGAATTTTAAGAGAGAATGTCATTATTTCTTCTCTATTTTGAGAGGCATGGGGAAAAACTTTTGGAAAATGTCAGTTGACCATTTCATTTTTTTGCATATTCTGTGCTAGTTGCATGTTGAAGAATAAATTATTCTTTGAAGAAACTTCTATCTGCTGTTCACAGGAGAGTGCTTAGACTTGCACATAAGAAACAGGGCATGTTGAATATGTGGGCAAGTGATACAGTCTTGGACTTCAGCGTCCAGTGAACCACAGGCTCATTTAATACCACCTGTGGCGGTGCTCATGCTATTATCAATTTGAGACTGTTAGGAAGAATAATGTAAAGTATTATTTGTTTGAAAAAGCTGACTTTACCAAGTTGCATCTGGAGTAAATATCTGGACATGAATCGTCAGATCTGACCAGAATCTCATTTATAGTCTGACATCAATTATCAACGTACCTTTGATAAAACATTACCTCCCGCGAAAATCAAGCAATAGGTGCAAAAGATACTCTCATCAAAAAAACTGTAATATAAAAAACAATGTACAGAAATAAATGGCCAAAACACAGAAGTGAAAGGGGAATGACGTTAGTATGAGTCACTTGACTAAGTCTGTATGTCTAGTGCAGCTTGGAAGTGTTTCCAGAACTGCCAATATATTTATTCAATGTTAAAACACTGCGGAAAGAGAAAGACACACAATGATTTTTATCTGTTGAAAATTCCTTGGCTTTCTGGAACTTGGGTTTTTATTTACTTATTTCCAGGCCTAGGTTCTATATTGATATCATCTTTACTAGAGAAATTTTCATTCCTGTTCCCTTATAACACACACAGATTTCCCATAACAGATTATAATCAGAGCTGTGATTGTAAAAGACATCTAAATGGGCTGGTCATTGTCTTTAAGTGTTAAAATGCAAACAACTCCATCCCCAAGGCCACAATATGAAGAACTTACATTCAGGTAGTACCACATCCACCCTTTTCCCATTTCTGTTCTTGCACTTACACAGGGCATATGGTAGAGAAAAAGTCAGAAGATAGTTAATGTTGAGAGTCCCTCTCTTTAGCCCTCTGATTTGCTACTTTCTCAGCTAAAGTGTGGCAAATTTTCTTTATATTAGCACAGTGCTCTCTTCCATGTCCTGGGGAAGTTTAAGATAAGGAAAGGAAGCTGATTTCCTAGTTTTAGGCTTGTGCACAGGACCACAGGAAGCAGAGATACCCTTCAGAAGAGAAAGAAAATTGTCTGTGATGATGGAGACAAAACCTGCAGTGATTTTGCTAGGCATGTTTGTGCCCCTTGTGACGCTACATCATGAGAGCTGTCAATGAAATACCACATATCAAGTATTTTTAGAGACTTTTTTCCCCGTAATGACTGATGGAATCATCCTTTATTAAAAATGCTCTCTGGACTAGGATGTTTACGGAAAGCTGTGAATTTGTAAGCTTTCAGCACTGTATTTCATGGCTTACTGGAAATTCCTTAAACAAAACTGGAAATTTATATACATGTGGTAAAAATGAAGAGTTCATTAGGATAAAAATGCCACCTCCAAAAAAAAAAAAAACCCAGAGAAACTACCTATCATGTTTCAGATGAGGAGAGTAAGAAGATAGGGTGAAGCAAATTAAAAGTCGATGTTTCAAATATATTTTTTGAACCCCCAAAATGTAAACTAGGTGTTGAAGTCAGTAATTCAACAGACTCCTATTGTGCTTAGAAAAACTGAGCATAGATGAAGTTATGGAAAGACATTGTTTCTTTTTTACATAAAAGTTTCCTCACTCTCCTCTAGGGTTCTTGAACCAGGAAGAATTTCTTTTTTGTCGGCAGTAACTGGCTCTTTGCTGGTTGATCTGTCTCTATTTTTAATGTCTGTCATCTCTTTGCCATCTTGTTTGAAGCGTTTCATTATTAAAACAGAAAGCACTATGTATAAGAGACAGCATCCTGCCCGTAGTCCTGCAATGAGGCCAAGATAGACATTTCTAGAAAAATAAAAAAGGCAACAAAATATATTTATATTATTAAAGCCTGCCAATTCTGAGTGGAACCAAGTAAGATATCAAATACACTTTGCCAAAATCATCTAGTCTCAGCCAGGTATCGCCCTACATTTTGAGAAATAATAGACAAGCAAACAATCACGATATTTAGCCCCAGGCAGGTTCTAATCAGGTCCTATATTCCTAGCAGAAATGCCTCCTCTTTGAAGAGTGCTCCCATTCAGCAGAGTATGTTTTAGGGCTGGAACAGGAGGAGCTGCACCAGCTGGGGCTTTTTGCCAGTTGTCCCAGCCTTCCCCCAGCCCCTCACTGGCAGCACTCAGTGGTCCTGGCCACAGCTGTCCATGCACCACCAGCCATTTGGATCTCCTCTCCAAGTGGATTTTTTGAGGTGTCTTATACATTCAAAAGCAGAGAAATGAGGGATGATGAAAAGCATCTCAGTGCCACACTTAACTCCATGGTTGTTGAGTCTCCTACAAAGCCAGAGCATTGCAGTTATTCAGTGCACTAAGACTTCAATAAAGGAACTAATTCTGGTGATGTAAGGAAGTGTACTGCAATGACATATGTCACACTGGATCAAAATTATTTGGCTTATTTGGTCTATTAAGGTCATCAAAATACGGAGTTTTGGTGCTTTTATTATCGTAATCAGTCAATTAGCAGGTGTCACGAGCAAAGTATTCCTTGGTGCCCAAAGCTGCCTCAGAAACCAAATTCTCAACCCCTTACTGAAGATTTGATCTTACCTGAATGCTTTTGTGTCGTATACCCGGCAAGATCCAGATCCCCCACAGTTTTTTGTCCCCCATTTCAAGCAGGTCTCGTCTATCAAGGCACCAAAATAGATAGGAGCTGGCAGTCCTCCTGCAAAGAAAATTCTTATTACGTGACTTCGGACATTAAAATCTCCACATTTAATGTCATGGTAAAGAAATGAGGAAATGAATCTCAGTGTTTCTGAATTATGGCTGCATAAAATGAAGCTAAAGATCCAGCTCTAGCTTTGATATTCCAAGATTTGTGAAAATATTTAAGCAAGTACCTAAAGGGAGCTGAAAGGATGGAAGATTGTAGCATTATTATATCCAGCGAGGGAAATGTTAGTAATTCTATTTTTATTAGAATTATACCTTCTGTTGTTTAAAGAAACAGTATAACCAACACATCCTTTTCAGTCCCAGGTGTGGCATTACATGCCATGACATATTAATATTTATGTATACCAAGGTATCTATTCAGGTATTACACAAGTTTGCCATTAAAAATGGTTGGCTAAGTGCACTTGATCAAAACGAACTAGTTAATAAGTTTATTACTTGTGTAGTACTGAAAGAATTCCTTTTAGACTGTCACAATGCCTTAAATGCCTTACTATAAACAGTAAGCTGTTTCAGGGAAAATGTGCAGTTTTGTGAAGAAAACTATTTTATAAAAGCACAAGATTGATTCTCTGCAGCATTCAGCTAAAATATAGAGATTAGGAGACAGATCTAAATGACTACTTGGGCTTTTCTGTGTGGGGCAGACTTCAAAAATCAAAAAAACAAATGAAGATAAAGCAAGGCTTGCTAGAGGCAGGGCAGACTACATGTCCAAAGACTTGGCTGATTATTTGTTGCAGATCAACAGTAGAAATAAAATGAAAGGTTGAGTACATTATAGCTCTAAGTGAAAAATGGTCAGCAAAAGAGAACATAGGTGTCAAGGACAACCAGGTTGATCAAGCTCAGGTGATTTTGTCCATGAGTCAAAACAACCCTCAAAGTACACAGCAATTTCCTTCCTCTGCCTTATTCCTTTGTTGCATAGAAACAATTCTGAAGAGATAACCATAATATGTAATTAAGTACCAGGAAACATGTAGCAAGCACCTCCAAACATTTTGAAATGCACAGTCTGATTACAAATAAAAAATATGGAAGATTTCTCTTCTCATCTAGAGCAAGGGCATTGCACTGGCTAGCTTTGGTCTACTTCTTTGACTACCTACTTGAATCCCACAAAGAAATGAAGTTTTACCTAGTATTCTACCACCTAATGTTTCAAGCCCAACGGCAAAGGATTTCAAGTCTGGGGAAACAGATCTAAAAAGGAAACAAAAAGAGTACATTGTTTTGGGGAACAATAGAATAACATAGCTATAACCATCCTGTGAACATCTGCACATGCTCCACTACAAGAGTATTGTGACTTACCTAGCATAGCTCACCCAAACCATAATTGAAAGCATTTACCAAAGTTAAAATTCAGAGATAGAGCCTTCTCCCATCTACTTCAGTGGATGGATTGTCATTGAAATAAACGGGAGACTCTATAGAAACTGATCTTGGACCAATGAGAACAGATTGTAAAGACTTTTGGGAGAGAATTCATGGAAAAATTAAAGTGAACTCACTAAAACTAGGCACTCTATGTTCATAAGTTATGCTCCAAGAAGCTGTCTTGCTTTAGAAGGGACTGTGTTGTGTAGTGGTGAATGGAGGGATCAAGGGTGTGCAGATACATGCAGGTAAAACCCACCTCTGCCTCTTGCCTTTTACAGAGAGACAGTGAACATGAGTTACCTGGCTACTAAGGCACCTCATTCCTACCAGTGGAGAAACATCCTGTGTCCATCAGGTGAACCGGAAGAAGTCACAAAAAGCACAGGGGAGTACTGAGCTGGCATAGGGGCAGGAGGGACTTGATGCAGCCAGCCTGTATCCTGAGCCAGAGTTCATATATCAGAATATGGTCTTTTCAGCATTAACATGAAACGTTTCTCATTACACACATTAGTATTTTGAAAACTTTGCCCAGCAAAGTTTGCCTTGGCCATAATCCAGGCATGCGGTAAGAACAGCTGCACTTAGAAATATTGCAGATGAATCAGCAGCTTAGCTAAGAGAGTTATCTAGTCATGTGCACTGACTGCCGAAGATTGCAATTCACCCGTGAGCATGAGTGGAAAGAAACTTCCACATGAACGGCACAGAACATTGTCTTTTCTTCTGAGTATAAAATAACAGTGCTGCTTTACAACTGAAGGAATAAAAATGAAAAAATTTTCACTGCTGACATAGGTCTGGTTATACCAGGTTGACAAAAAATGGGAGTATTGGACTTCTCACAGCACAGAAAACATTCTGAGGCAACAAGGCTTAACAAAAGTGCATGTTTTTCTCCTGAGTAATGTGAACGGCATAGTCACCTTGGATATGCCTTAGCACCACAGCAGTTTTCAAGTTCATTGCTGTGTTAAAAACGTCATTGGAAGTGAAAACTAATGTTTGGGAACAGCATAAGGCCCACCCATTTCCGCAGCAATCTACTGAGTCTTAAATTGGAATTATATTGGTGGACAGGCTTTTTGCTGTGCCTCTGAACAGAGCTGGATTTCAGAGTACAGACAAAGACTCAAAGCCCCAATTTGATCAACATGCCATTCCTCACAAGAGGAAAAATAAAACAGATACTATATTCTATTTCTCAGAGCTTTATGGGCAAGGTAAGGTAAAGTATTTCACCTGAACATAATCATGTATGTAGGAGTGCCTCCTAAGGCTAAAATAAACGCACATGCAGTCTGTAACGCTAAAAAGTAGGGAAATGCTTTGGTACAGCTTTCTCTTTGGCATTGTCCCAAAACTGCAGAGGAATTGCCAAGTCCATGTCCTTGTCCTTCCACACAGCTGCAATTGTGAAACACCTGAAAGGAGAAAATGAGAAAAAGATTTTATTTAATCAGAATTCAGTGGCACAAAGCTATTTTACTAGCTAGATTTTTACTTCACCTAACAGGCAGGCTGTTGTTTATGCTGAAAGAACAGCCCGAATCATCTTTGCAGACTGATGGCCAAGTTCATTGGTATGCTTCAGCCACTCTGAGCTGCTCCAGAGACAGAAAGCAGCTGCAACTCTAGTTTCAGGCATGCCATAGCTAGGACAGAAGGTGCATTGTGTATGCTTAAAATGGATCAAAGATATAAAATTCAGATGTGAACTGTTATCCAGCCATTCTGCTCAAGCATCCCATGGAGTAGATGAGTAAAAATAAAAATACAGAAATGGCCCAACAATGCAATTATACATAGCTATTGTTATGTTTCTAAAACAGCATTTGGCACTGGATTGAGAGTGGGTTGTTTCATAGTCTTTGAAGTCAGCAGGAGACATGGATTTGTAAGCTAATTCCCCTGAAGTGAAGCAAGAGAATATTGCTTGGATATATAGATATCAGCCTGAAAATATTGCTATAATCATCTATCCACCTATATACTTACCATATTCTTTCCCATCCCAGTTGATGATTTACATCCGGCAAAGCAGGCTGTCATGTAAGTGATCCCATTATCCCCACATACAGGGTCCCAATGATCCAGCTTGCAGCCACAGTCAGTGTTGCAACTGGCCATGAAGCTGGTTTTGAAGGAGGAAAGATGCTTTAAACTGGAGGAAAACAGAAATAAGTAAAAAAATTTAGTTGAATTATATAGTCAAACAAAATAACAGGGAGTAGGCAGGAAAATGTGGAGCAAGTGAAGCAATAAATATGGACACATATCTGCTACCATCCAATAGTGAAGTTGTCATATGGAAACTAAGCTAATTTAATCTAAAACAAAGCTCTCTTGAGATTTTTCCTTAAGCATAACGTTTTTATAGGTTGTTGCTGAAAAGGCACGGAACTCACAAACTCAGTATTCTTGGCTGAGAGGGAATATTTGGTATTACTTTTGCATTTGAAATTTCAATACAAGAAAAAGAAAATCATACTTAGAATCTCTTATCACCTGTAGACTGGTCGTGCTTCTTAGCAGTAGGTGTCATATCATATATGTGCTAGAAGTGTTGATATAAAACTACATGATATTCCAACAGCAAGACTTCCTTGGCGTTTTTTCACTGATCAGAGGCAGCTAGCGGCAATGAAAGTTGCATGAGCCTGAGTGAGAAGTGCTGCTTCTGTCTCAGCTGCAATAGTATCCAGTAGCAGCCCTGCACCTGGGACAGGCTTGAGCCTCATTTCTTAATCAGGTCTCATTCCTTGTTTTATATTATCATGGAGTTTCATAGCTTCCACCTTTACCAACATTTCTGTAAGAAACATCAAACTCAGGCCACAATGAACTAAACTAAGCAGATGACAATTAGCATGAAGAATTTAAAAAATGACAGCAACTCTGAGGGCATGGTAACAGGGCTCAATCTTCAGAAAGTGTTAGGAATCCACCATCTACAAATCACTCCTGCCTTGAAGTGACTCACAATATAAAGGAAAAAGTGTTCAAAATTTGCCTTTTTTTCCTCCCAACCTCTCAATCCAAAACACAACTCAAGGCGGGGCTACATTTCTCCTAAGTCTTTTAGAAGGGAAAATAACCGAAGGGTTTAGCCCTGGTTAGGCTGTTGCTCATATTCAAGCTACAAATTGTTAAATTGGTAAAACAGCACACGACTCACTTAACCAGAATAATCTTAGCACATGCTAGATACTCCAGTCTCAGCTGTCCTGGAGAAACTGCAATTGCTCTTTCAGTATTTGCTATGTTGAGGTTTCTGCTTATTTTTAATTCACTCTATAATATCAGACTTTGCCCTCAACCAGAGCTATCTCTACTGCACAAACCTCTGACATCTTTTGTGTAACTAACCTCAAAGCTGAAATGGCTATCAAGTTTGCCAAGACAACTTAGCTATTTCCCTGAAGATAGGCTCAGTTTCAGAAAACACAGGACTGAGCTTCTGTGTGAACTGAAAATCTAGCAAGCCCTGCTGGATACAGTTTAATCCTTTAAAATCCCTTGAAATTTGTTGGACCAGACTGAGCTAAATTTAAACAGTAGGCAATTGTAGCAGGCTGCTAGAATCAGCATAACATTCTCAAGAAAGCATGACCATGGTCCTGGTAAGGGAAGGGGAACATCTGTTTGGGCAGCACACACTACTGACACGACCACTTTCTGCCTCACGCAGGTCAGCAGTTCCAAATATCAAGGGATGCTGGTAACTCCCCATGCCGGCTGGTAAGTACTGATCTACAAGACGATTCCTTCTAGAGTTAAAGCCATTGGGGGACAACAAGGCAGCCACTTTCAACTCTTTTTTTTTACATTCCACTCTCTACATGGTAGGAGGAGAACAGCTTTAAATTAAAGCTCTGAAATAGAATATAAAAATTTCAATTGCCAGTGGTCAGCTTCCTTAAATTCACTTAATTATTGATTTGCCAGAATATAGAGGTATATTGTCAATAGCCAGCAATAAAAAATTTAGAAAAAGAAATGTCCAGTTGAAAGTAAATTTGAAAAACAAAATCGAGGTATTCTGCACATTGCCAACACTAGGTATCATTTCAGTCTGACAAGGATTTTCTTGTGTGTATCATCACCAAGGGAGCAGTAAATTATATAATCACAGTCGCTCCACTGTAGCTGAAACCACATTGTTTGACAGTAGCAGATTACCTTATACAGACCAGTTTCAATAAAAATTTATTGTCTTTAAACACACATATATATTATTGGTTTTTAAGAAAAAGATATAGCAATATGCTACAGTAAATCAACAGAAAATTCACATTTCATGATTGATCCAAATTAAAAATCAAAATGTTTCCAAGAGTAGAAAGTTTGTAGCCCAGATGAGGTTACAAACCCAGATTAGACATTGAAAGTAGAGGAATACAGGTGCTTGCACCATGTTCTGCACAAGGCAGGAAGCAACTGTGACAAATGACACAACTAAAACAAACTCAAAGGGATACAAACCCAGAGTAGGGCACTGTTAGACCGGCCACCTGAAGCACATCACAGCTGCACGTAAAGTACAAGAGGTTTAACAAATATGCTACTATAAATGTGATGCATGCAAACTTTGCCATTTCCGTTATGTGAAGTCTGAATTTCTTGATCAGAAAGCCTCCTAGAAACATCCCCAGAATTGTGACTGGTAAAAGTATCACACCTGTAAATAGAAGGCAACAAAATCGTTAAGTGCTGTCACTTGCATCGACCCTTTTTGAACAAATATGCGGTTCTAGCAGTTTCCAAAAATATCTGATACTGACCTATTTTCAGACTGATGCTTTGAGGTTCTAAGACTCTTTATTACCTTTAAGTAATTTTGCTTACTTCCTCATTTTTTTTCAAGTCATGTTATGACTTTAAAAAGCTTAGTTATTCGATATTCCCTGCATTTTGCTGTATTGATGTCTGTATGCTTACTGGTATAGGAAAATCTATACAGATGGCTGTTAGAAACTGGAGCAAATGAGATTAGTCTTAGTTCATGGTTACTTCTTCGTCTAAAGTAAAACATTAAACTTTCTGAAAGTTACAGAAAAAAACACTTCCAAAAAGAAACATGAAAGGAAGCAGCATTTGATTTTGCGTTGGATTCCATTTTGCTCTGAAAGTGAATCATGGAAAGATTTGCATTTAGGTTTAATCTGTTCATCATTTCACAAACTCCAGCCCTGATATTTACATGCTAAATAGGGAAATTTCACAAGGTTTTATTGTGAGGGGTTTGCCTTTCTCTGTGTGGTTTTTTTTGTTTGGTTGGGTTTTTGTAAAACTTTCCCTTCATCCAAAACTACATAGGAAAAAGAAAGTTATTCCCACATTTGTACCTGACTCACAGCAAAGCAGGCTGCCTTCAGATTAAAGTAGTGAAATATCAATTTTGCAATGACCTCAAATACCCTAGTTTTCTTGCCAGGTTATGAGACCACATTAATCACTGTAAGATTAATACAATTTCAGATTTCTTTTTTTGTAGAACAGTACAAAGAACTTATTTTTGCGGGAATTGACAAATAGAAAAAGAACTGTGAGCGGAATGAAATTACTCAAAATTTTACATTTTTGTTTTTACTTATAAAAATTGTGTTTGTAAACAAAACAGAAGAATGTTTATACTGAGATGTTATTCTGAAAATGAAAATCACGTCATTAGACATTTTCTAAATGTAATGTTTTTCTTTGAATTTTTACTTAGTTGCAGTTTATGTGCAGTTTTTGTTCACATAATCAGACACATTCGTAACACAAATCTCACTCTGAAAAAAACTTCAGCCAAAAAAAATCTACCCAGTTCTAATCATCTAGCTCACTAAATTAGGAATACCAGGAAAATTAACACTAAAATTAACATCCATTTTCAAAATACAGTAGGAAAATTAATAAATCACTGCATACTTTTTTAACGAAAAAAAGGTCACAGAAGCTCCTTCTAAAAAAGAAGGCAAAATAACAAAGAAAAGCTTCCTTTTTGACATTGGAATTTAAAAGGACAGTTACCTACCGATTAGAAAGATGGCTCTTGCCACTGATACATTAAATTGCTGCTCCATAAACTTTGTCTCATAGGTTATCAACCCAACAAGAGAATTGTACTGCAGAATAGTGAGGAAGATGAACACCAGGAAAATTGGATTTCCAAACAGCTTATTCAGAGCTGGGAAGAAATCTGTAATGGAGAAGTATATGCTGTACACTCTGCTAAACATAGAGAAGAGTTGTTTTGACATCTTTTACATAATAATACTAACTTTGATTTAATTATCGGCTGTGTTGCAGGCTATAATTCTTTGCCTATCAAAACATATGCTTGCTCAAGTGAGAGTTTTCCTCACTGCCAACACATGACTTAAAGGGGCATCAAGGCTGAATGTCACAGTGGATGCTCAACTGGGAATCAGAAATCCTAAATTATTTCATGTGTGACACAGGACTATTCATTAAAGGCATTAAAGCTTGCAACACTAATTCTCAAATCCTGTATAGGAGAGTGACTCTAGAGGAGCATTAAGACTCTCCGTAATGTTCCAAGTGAAAATTTTGGTGTCTAAAGCATGAGCCTTCAACAAACCACACAAGAGCCCCACACGAGGCTGATATTTGGAGAAAAAGAGCACCTGATTCAGCTAAAGGCTGGAATCTTTCCTGAGACCCTTGATTAGAGTATCTAAATCCATGAAATTAAAGTGAAGACAAAAACCTGCCTTTAGACTGTAGTCTGGCCGTTGGTATGCTTGTCTAAAACACGAGAGTTCAAAACACATACACTGTAGCCACTAAGGGGTGCACTTGCATGCATACATATAAATAAAACCCTTGGGGAAATCTAACAATGGGTAGTTGGGTCTGATGTTGCCTATAGGAGGTTAATTTAGCATCGCTGAGCTCATACACATTCGCTGAGCTATGAATCCAGTGAAAGCCCTCCAACAGCTAATGTAGTACTTAGTCCCATGTTTCCCTCCCATACATTGGCATCAGTGAAAGAGTAACCTGCCAGCTGTGGATTGGTCATTAATGAGAGATGGGATGTTATCCCCAGTCTTCCTTCATAATCATGAGATTATAGCTGCAATACGTCATATGACAACTACTGTGCTGAACTGAGAATTCCTTGTGCTCAAAGCAACAGTATGACATTTTTCCAGATGTCTGACATAAGGAAAGGATTGAAACACACCCTTAGCATGTAATTATAATACTACAAATTAAAGACAGCATTTTTGGCCATCATTTGCACTGCAGAAATGTGTTTTACTGAGGGTTGTGCAAATCCATGCTCAGTTGAGAATGAACCCATGAGAGAGAATTCACATGCAAACATTTGGGCAATAATCTTTCACCTTTTACTGCCTCTGAGAACCTTAACTGTGGCTGAGCTGGAGGGTCTGTTTTACAGTGATCTCCTTGAACAGGCAAATGACTAATCTTCAGCTTTTCATTGTCTCCTTCTTTTGGTAAGGAGTAAGGCAAAAACCAGAAAGGCAATGAAGCAATGAAGTTCACTACTCCACAGATAAGCAATCCAAGCCACCAGGCACCAACCCAGCGAGTATCCTTAGGATTTATACTGATGGCATCTATAAAATACAGAAAGACAGGAAAATAGATTAAATATCATGCAGAGCAATTAAATTTACTATAGTATCCTTATAAATATTCTTTAAAGACCAGAACAGAGGAGATTTATATTTCATAGTAAGAATTGAAACACAGCTTGTATCAAAGCAGTCCCCTGCAGTCAAAAGTAGATGTCTCCATTTAGACTCATAGTGGCATTTCCTTGCCACAATCTTCCAAAACTTTCTGTGGGAATGTGTCTTTTACCACCCATAAAGAACTCCCCTTTCTCAGTTTCCCACTGTCCCCTCCGTCTTCTGTCCTCAAACTCAGCAGTTTCTCCTTGAAGTTCCTCAAATTTTCCCTGGGATTTGAGACTTGAAAGCGATTTGAACAATGAAATGAGTTTTCATATGGATCTTTGTTGTCTACTTTTTTAAGAGAACATAAATTTTGCCAAGTATTGAAAACATCTACGAGCAAAGGCCTTCCACCATTCCCTCAATGTGGGCATGGCCTTTCATTTCCTCATTTGTTCTCAGCTGCGAAGCAAGGGTTTAACTACTGCATGCACAAGCATAAGAAGGTGCAAAATTTTTCTGCAGTGTGGGTAGGATTCTTGCATCAAGGACTATTCCAGTCACACTATAATGCTGCAGATACTAAAATGTAAATAACACCAGATTTTGAGTAGGAAAAACTGTCTAGAGAGCCCCTCTTTTTGGAGCAGTAAGCTGGGAAGTTGCTTCTCAGCATACGGGTTCCTACACGCAGCCATCTTCTCAGTTAATGCACTATCCCACTGTCTCTTACCAACATCCACAATGCCAATGTCAACCCAGAGGCTGGCACAGAAAGATCCAAGCAGGAAGCCCAGGGTTGGCCCAAACATCCCCGAGGATCTCACCAAGCCTGTAAGAGAAGGGAGGCAGCACAGGAGAGTGAGTAAAATGCTGTGCGGACAAGCACGTCTCCTCCTCTGAGGGCAAGGAAAGGAGACAGAAGAGGAGCACGGGCCATTAGAGGACATCTAATGGGACGCTTCTGAGCAGGAAGAAAATAAGCCATAAGCTGCCAAGGCACTGGCTGCCGTTTAGAAGCAGGCTCCTTCACCCACATGGGGCTGTGCTGAAGCGAGCACGGTCTCACGTGGACCCCCGCATGCATTTCATTGACAAGATTGGTGTCTTGGAAGGAAGAGGAAGAAAGGGAATAACGTTGCAATGCTTTTTATCCCTCTGAAGTGCGGAAAGAGACTCCACAACTCGGAGAGTTGTAAAGTAGGTATGTTTCTTGCAGCACTGGGTGCACGGAGGATTGCTCTGCCAGAAATGTGCACACCTGCCATAGCAGTTTTCTTGTGTTTATACAGACATACTCATAACCCCCTCCCCAAAAGGGCAGTCTCTCCCAGGAGATCATTTCCATAGGCCCTGCCTCAGGATCGACCTCAGGCTCCTCCTTGACATGCCTCCTGGTGGTCGTGGGCAGGGGTCTTTGGGATGAAGGCCGTAGGTCTTCCTCGCTGTGTGTTTTCACTTCTTCCCTAAAATTCCTGTTTTGGCTGGGCTTGCAGAGCCAAACTGTTCCCCAGCCTGGCCTGGCCTTGAATGGACACCTGGTTGTCTCCTACTTGTTATTGTTTGAAGACAAATGTTAGTTCTTCTTAGTCCTTATCTCTCCTCTTTGTCTGTTTTTCTCCCCACGGGTCACGAGTTACAACCTTGCCATCATTTATTTTGTCTCTCTTACTGGCCTTCTTTTTGGGTAGTATTTCAAAGCAGGGATTAGTATTTGATAACTTCTAACATTTCACAGAGCTATCTATTCCAGAATCTTACGTAGTCTTAGGCCTATTCTTATACCTATCCATAGAAATAATAGCTAATATACTTTTATATGGTCTTATACCTACTCCTATACCTATCCCCCATCACCTCCTCCTCCCTTCAGCTCTCCTCAGATTTCTGTAGTTGCATTGTTCAGCTTGTGGTGGTTAACTCAACATACAACTCTAATCCTGTTGGAGGTATCATAAGTCTACCTGCAACTCTATTTACAGCTTGCATGGTGTTCTGGGACTGTAGAAGTCATGACTTTTCCCTGTACTATATGTTCAGGTTCCTAGTTCAATTTTAAGTAGCAGTAGTTTATCTGATGATGTGCATATAAGAAGGAATATCTTTGCAGTTTGGAGGCATATTAGCATGACAGGGACAATAAAATTGTGTGATCATGAAGAATATTTTCAGTAGGCAACAAGGAGATACAAGTGTGCCTGTGTGTGATCAAAGTTCATTACACAGAATCTTTGTTGAGTCATTCAGCACCAGAATGAGCAAATCAGCCAACTGTTAATACCTACTTATGCAGCTGTAAAAAAAAATCAAGAAATCTAGTGATAAGTAATGACCTCTTTAAAAGCAGCTTTCAGTTTTGCTGCTCTTCTCACTGGGGCTTCCGTTTCCCACTCTCTCTGCTTACGAAGGAGATAACATGGGATCAGACAAGGTGGGATGCCCCTAGGAGAAAATGAATAAGCTGTGAAGACTAGCAGAAACCTAGGAAGGTAGGACTGCATTTTGCTGACTGGGTATGTAAATACTGCACAATTTGATTTTGGTGACCACAGCTAGCAATCAACATAAAATAAAAATGTCCTCAAAATAACACAAGCACAGGTCCTCATGTTCCCTTGCCACTTGTTTTGATCTGTTGAGTTTAGTTGTGAGGGGGTAACAGTTTCCAGAAAAGTTCAGTGAATTCTAGCAGGGAACTGCCACCTGGGAGCTGTTCAAAGTTACAGAAGGCTTAATTCTATCAGAAAAAAATGAATTCTTGACCAAATGTCTGTCAGTTCTTGCTCACATTCAACTTTATGCTCTGTAAATCCTACAGTGTTCTACTGCAGAGATTTTTCTCCGGTTGGTTTTACAAGCTCTCTTCTAACTATAGTGATTACTCAGCTTATGACAAAGGGTTTCTGTAATAAATTCTTACAGCATATTTTAACCATATAATTTTTCATCTTTGCTTCATTGCTCCAATTGCATATTGCTTTTCTTTAGTTCTCTCATTTTACTTCATTGGAAGATCTGGCCTTTTAGACTAAATTCTGATGCTTCCAAAATTACCGACTTCGGTAGAGTCAGGATTTTGACACTAGAAGCCAGGAATTAACTCTTTATGTTTATTTATCAGTGAGTCTAAAGCAGAACTTACTACTCAGAACTATGCAAGCTCATCTCCAAAGTTCAAATTCTCAGTGGCAAATTTCTAAAACAAAAAGATAAAACCCAGCACATCTGTAACAATGGCTTTGTATATTGTAGGCAGCATATTTCTTTAAGATACCATAAGCTATCAGATAAACTAAGAAATATATGTGCAATAATTTTGGATATGCATAGTTTTTAAATTAGATTTCATATCCTTTAAATTCAATAACTTCACTAAGATAATATTCACGTATTGTGATAAAACCAAACCAAATAAGTTCATGGTGTTATTTTCTTAGCATATTTTTGCTTTGTAATATTTATACTTTGTAATTAACAGACAGACTAAACCACGAAGAGTAAATCATGCAGACTTACCAGTTAATCAGCTACTGCATGTTGACATAGCTCAGCCAAACCCTTGTATTGACAAGTAATTTAGCATGTAACAGATACTTAAAATTTACAACATACTTTGGCTTCAGATATGTTTCTATTGAAGCCATGGGTTCAATAGATGAAAGATTATATGCTAGTGCTGAACTCAATGATGAAATTTCATTCATTCAAAGCCTCTGCTTTGGTGATAAATCCATGGAAGTGAAGTACTTATTAAATATCATTGATTGTCTATTACTGATCTTAGATGATAAGTCTAATGGCTTTAAATAACCGTGTCAACATTCAGTTTCAAGTAAGATAAGATAAGAAATTAATCTTATAAAATTGGTTACTGAAAATTTATTAGTACAGGTGAAACCCTTATACGTATGTTGGCAACTCTTCTATGGGCGCCTAAACAGAACTGAAACATCTGAAGACCATAAAATACCTGAAAAAATTAGACGCCTAGCGTGTGGGAGTATTTATGAAATAACCTCTCAGTCAGAGCAGTGGGCCTCAAAGGTGACTCCAGAGGCTTCCCCTCAGAACAAAGCAAACCACTGAGATCTTGGTATTCCTGTTTCTTGACAAATGTTAATTGCATTTAGACACCAGAGGGTCAGATCATTATACCTTACAGTCATACTGTGTAGTGACTCTACACGGAGGAGCTTTTCAGGACTGTATATGATGCACAGTGCAGTGTACCACCTCAGGACAATGTTGATGGCCTGGTGGAACTACACAAATTAAAAAGATTCTGTAAAACTCAGTTTGAAAACTATAGCATTTCCTGGGTGAAAAAAATCAATTTCTTATCTCGCAGAGTTCTACAGAAAAGCTACGATCTACTAAATTCTGTAAAACAGCTTAACAAAAAAAAATGCTGTTTTTTTCCTTCTCAGTTCCTTCTTGTGGCAACTCTGGTTTTATTGCTGTAAATTATCATTAGCACCACAACTCTGCCAAAAAGATTTTAATGCATTCTATTGACATTTAATAATGTATTCCATTGACACTTAATAAAAATCTGTCTCTGCCTCAAAATAACTTATGTTCTTATTCAACAAAACATCTAAGGTCAAGAGAAAAAGAAGAGACAGGAAGGTGAAACTTCTTGCTCAGGGTCAAATAATGAGATCAGTGGTCAAAATTCATCAGCAAGGCTTGACTGACTTTTTTATTATAGGACTTTTTTTATTTTACAGAAAAACTGCTCATAAATTGATTCAGTCAACTGATAAAAATATCAAATATGGAAAAGAATCAACGTTGGTCAAGGAAAGGAATTCCAGCTCTATGAAAAAGACTATTTCAGCATTCACCTTTTTTTTCAAATTGGTCCAGTCCATCAAAATGGAATAAGAGACTGGAAATTGCTATTTAGAATATTAAAATGAAATATTTTAATACTCTGTAAATACTTTATTTCACTTGCACGCCCAAACAAATTTTCATTTTGTTTGAATCCATACTATTCTCTGTGTCTACTTTACATTTTTAATCTCACTTCTCTAGTAGTCCCCAACCTGGTGCAATCTCTCCTAGATTAGATTCTGACAAGAAAATATTCCAGCTGAACTTTTAAAAATACCTTTAATCAGAAGCTCAGAGGAAATTACAAATATTTTGGATAACTGCTGAGTGGAACTTTTGTTTTTGTCAGCTCCCTTCACAATACTTTTGTCAACCTGCAGATTTCCTCATCCCCAAATGAAGACATTTGCAATAGCATTACCTTGTAGCATTACATACTGAGCTCTTCCTGAAACTGTCTCACTATATGACCAGCTCAACTTCACTAAGTTTACTTCAAACAGCAGTTTTGACCTCCTTCAGCCACAGAAACACTCCAGGCTATTAAATAAGTTTGGCAATAAATTAATTAGCTTGGGTGTAAGTCTTTCTGTCTTGGGCAACAGGCTATCTTCCACCAAAACAACAACAAAATCCCAATTACAAGGAAATTGTTACAGCACCCTGGCAGGGGTTTGGTTTTTCCTTTGGCAACTAGTGACTTAAAAAGCTTTCATTAAGAAGCGTGCTGCGTGCAAGATTCAAAAAGTCAGATAAAAGCTTCTGAAACATGTTTACATTACTGTGATTACATTACTGATTCTTACATTAAAGATCATTCTCTTATCTGTGAAACAGCGATTAGGAAGAATTTTATCTGTGCTGTGAATTTTATCTGAAGCTGAAGAATTTTATCTGAAGCTGAATAGTTTTATCTGAAGCTGTGGTACTGAAGACGATATGTCAGATAAGAGATACGGCTTCTCAATTTGGAGAACTGAGCATTTGACTATGCTTCTCTTCATCACAGAGAAAACTGGCACGTGTAGCAGAAGCCATTTGAGTAAAGCAAAAGGAGCATCTGGGAAATATCCTTCGAAAATAAACATGAGTTCTCTTTTGCATTGCTTTTTTGTCTCGGTACAACTAAAAATTATCCAGAATAGAGCAGACTGTAGTTTTTTTGATGAGTATTTGCTTTGCTACAGAAATGTTAAAGAAAGAATGTTTAGCATAAAAATCACTTATTTGCATATTACCTATGTAAAATGCTGAGTTTTCTTCTTTAGAAAAATCATCAATATATGAAACCCCCAGTGGCATAACTGGTGCTTCCCCAATTCCACGTAAAAGGTTCCCCATCAATACAAAGAGCCACAGATAGGAATTTGTTGTTTTCTCACATCCTGCAGGCCATAAACATTTACATTTCTGTGAACATAATTCTGACCATACTTTATTGCAACAGAAAAATAATATAAATATGGGTTTTTACAATCATTATAGGGTTGGGTTTTATGTATCATGATTTCTAACAGGGGTTTTACTGCTTTGCAGTAAAAGAGAGTGTGTAAGAAGGGAAACTAGCATCAGAGCTTTTACTTACCAAAGTTTTTCATTGCACTGGGTGTTTCTGTAGCATCTGTGTCTGGATGGCCCTCAGACCATGCTGGGGAGCAAGCTGATACGCTTGTAGAGGAGTTGTCCACAGTAACAGTTATCCTTTCATAATTATAACTGGAAAACAACTATGTAAAATACAACTGACACACGAAAATCTGCTTTGCAGGAAATGTCTTTGAGCCTTGTGTTCATAAATGCTCATTCTTGTTAAGCAAAGCAGAGGGGCAATCCATTTTCAGTGCTTTCACTTAAAAAAACATAGGTATCTTCATATTCTTTTCAAAATGTCCTGACCATTCCAACCCCCAAATTTTTTTAAGCTAAAGAGCAAAAAAGCTGCTGCCAGGACTTAAGACATCATTCTTTAGACTGAAGGACAGAGGCAGAGCCCATCCACATCCGTCTGTGCTGATGTTTTTCCATACTGGTACCAGTTTCTTACCTATGTGAAGAGATTTCTGTGCTAGTTTAAAATTAGCTAGATAAGAATCTAGTAGTAAACTATCTGTGTCTATAAAGAGATTAACACAGGATGCAAAACACATGTCATTTTGTCTGTATTTAGGCAGCGAGCTACTACAGCAAATCTGCTGAGAAAATTGAAGCCAGCTTGAGTACGTTTATGCTACATTGGGATAAATGGAGAGCAGATATTCCCTCTGATTGTGCAATCAAGCAGTAACCTTTAATATTGTGATGAATGACAGTGAGGTCCCACGGTCACTGGGTTTTGCTCAGTGTTGTGGAGAACGGGTTATCTTCAGAACTTGGCTGTGAGATTGAGATCAGAGATTTCCATTGCTCTGCTTCTGGCCTGTGTTGTCCCCTGCAGTGCAAGTTCCCAAGCAGAGCAGTGGCTGCAGCCACTTTTCATATCATGATCCCCAGATTTCATTCTTTTAATACCCTCCTTATCACAGGTATTGGTCTTTGAACTAAAGACTCACAAATAAATTTTAATTTCTGAGGGCCAGAGAGGGTTTACTTTCAACTACTATTAGTAAGGATGCTGAAAGATTGGAGAGGTATGAACTGCTTCTGACAGCCATGTAAGCACTAAAGCTTAGATGTGAAGGGGTAGTTAGATGTTTAATTTTCCCTGAGTTCAGTGGAGATCGAATTCTTCATAATTGTTAAGAGCATATCATGAATAGCCACCATGAAAAAGAAAACTCTTCCATCAAGAACTCACTACAGCTCATGTAAGTATGAAAAACAGAAGAGCTAAAATAAAAAATGTATCTATATTTATCCATCCCAAGTGAAAAATTCAACTCACTTTATCCTTATTTATGTATATGTCTTACTTACCTGTAGAAAGAGGAAAGCTTTCAGAGAGGAAATCGGCAAGTCAATACTAAAAAACTCACCTATTAAAACCCTCCTGTTATCTGGAAGAAACTACTATTGCCAAGGTTTTAACTTGGGTGTATGATTAAAAAAACACGTCATATAGTCAAGTTAGCGCACAATGTGAAAACTCTTCATATTTACCGTCCCATTAGAAACTGAGGCACCACTGACAAAAATGCTCCTAAGGACATGATGAGACATCCTACAGCAATTACTTTTGGTCGATGAACTCTTGGTCCAAGGTAGCTCACCAACACCATTACCATTAAGTTACCTGCATCAACAGGAGAGAGAACCAGTTAAATTACAAAAAGATATTTTTTAAGGGTAAAATGTATTAAGAAGCGGTATTTATCCACTTTCAAATAAAGTACACATACCTATCTCAAAGCTGCCATCAATAATGCCAACAATTGATGATGAGATTTCAAATCTCCTTTCAATTTGACTGGACATGCTCTTCATGTAGCTTCCAGAAAATCCTTTGGCAAAAAAGGAAAAAGCTAGAGCTGCAAGAAATATCTGAAGAGAGAAAAATAATTGAGTTTGCAAAGAGACAATTTTTTCTTCGTGGCTGGATGCCTAAGCACCCTACTCAAGAAACACAGAAATCAAATGCTTTGTGTTCTAATCCTCTGTGAAGAGATTCTTCTTATTGTTTTCATTATAATAGAAGATTTTACTTTCTTTTTCAGTATGGCCTCCAAAGCCTCTTCTACTGCAAAGAAAAATAAAGTTGACATTGTCTGTGTGCACCTTCTTCCTTTTTACCACATACTGTTTTAGCTGTTTCATTCCTTAGGAAAAACTTGTAGCATATAGTTGTTCATTACTGGTACTATTATTATGGCATGTCTTATTACTCCTACTTCTCCTGTTCTAAAAACCACAGACATAAAGACATAGCTGCAACTATCACTATGACAATAGCATACCTCTAAATTACCCGTTAGTAAAATGTGGCCTCACTTTTTAACAGCTGAACACATTTATTGATTTCTATGTGCTTGGAATCACAACCAAGAGTGTTGTTTCCAACACACATAGTGTCAAACAGTGTTATACAGAACTACCTGAATTTTGGTAGAAATTCAAATTGTAATTTTCAATATTCCAGAGAAAATATGTGGTGAGGGCTCCTCTCCATACCTTTAACTTTGAACAATTATGGCACATGCTCTTGGCTGGAACTGCACTGCCATCACTGTCCTGGAAGAGTGACTTGTCTTTAAGTTGGCCAGTGGTGACTGGGCTGTCCATGGTTTTCTTCCTCCAGATCAGATATGTAGGTTTTCCTGTTCGGAAAATATCACTATGATTAACCATTATTTGCATAAGAATAAAGATTCCAATGTTTTTCAGACATGCTAGATGGTGAGATACTACTTGAGATGTCTACACATTGACACCTTTTTTCAGCAAGGATGTTAAAGAGTGTTGAAAGTGTCATTGAATTAGTTAAGGATTGGTGCACCTGCTTTGTGAAATCTGCTGTATAAAAGACTTCAGGACCTTCTTGGATAGATGGAAAATTTAGAGGCAACTTGCTGACAGTGTTTAGAGATCTTTGTAGAGAAGGCAAGTCCCTAGGCAGCTGGAGACTAGAAGAGTATGTCAGAGAAACATCTTCACCGTGCTTGAACCAATTCTTATACTGCCTTCTAGGTATCTGCTTTTGATCACTGTTCCAGGCTAAATGGACCTTTGTTATGATCTAATATGGTCCTGATAGTATGTTATATTTACGAGGATTTTCTCTAACTGCACAATCTATGAATTTGCAGAAATACTGAACACTACTCTGCACCATTCTGTCAACACTCCTATGAGTAATGCTATTCATTGGATAAATGTTTGTAGAATCAGACCACAAGTTATGACTGCGGAGAAAACAGGGTAAGAGATATGGTAGGTAAAAATGTATTAGGGAAAAAGAGGGCACTGATAAAAAGAAACAAATAATTACTATCTTTAAGTCTACAAGTCTCCACAAGTTCCTGCAAGACAGATGATAAATGTAGCTATTTTAATGAAAATGACAATGTTTGCCATTTAAAAATTGGCTCAGATATAAGGAGTCATCTTAGCTACATTGGTTGATGTATATTAAGTTGACCAGGGCAAACCAGCTAATACAGAGAGATCTGGAATGATAACAAGTCAAAAAGATCTATTGCCAAGTTCCTCTGTTGGAAAACTGGCGCAGTAGTACCAAAATCAATTACTTAGCACCAATATACATTGGCATATGTATTAGATGAATATAGGTTGAGAAACCGGCCTGTAACATTTTCACCCCCAAGACAGTGGGATCTTAGATATCCCATTCTGTTGATTTCCTCTGGAAATTGCTCAAAGTTCCCCTCCTGCAGGCCCCAGAGTCCAGCTGACCCATAAGCAGAGGCCACTTAAGTGTCATGAGGGATTTTCAACACTGGGGTGTTAACGCTGTGGCAGGATACCGAGCTAAGCCACAAAGGTCATGCTCTTCCTCTGAAGAGCTCAGCTCTTCCAAGCAAGAGGCCCAGGAGCAACTTGGACTCCCTAAGAAGTGTCCACTCATGCTCAGAAAGGATAACAGTTTCTTAGCAACCCAACATCCCTCCAGAAGTTATTTCTACTAATTGAGAATAGGCGCTAATGTCTCATAAAGAGATATAAAGCCTCATAAGGATTCTAATTTAAATATCGTAGTTTTTAGTTCCAAATCCTACTGCAGTAGGATCCACCAAAAGTGACTATGAAAAGCAAACACATGTATATTTCAGAGTGATCCACATATGAAATTTGTAAAGAGACCTAACATTCCATAAACCATCTCCAGCAGCTCACCAATCAAATAACATTGAAAAAAAATTATAGATAACTAAAGTATGGTGAATTCAGATTTATTCTAATCTTTACAGAATGGGAGCTGTAAGACAGTTCTCTAAAGCAAATATTTTCTTTATTGATTTGCGTTTTGCTGATGATTAACTTTGTGAAACAAGTGACCCTGTTAAATAAACAGTATTTAAATCAGTGACATGGTTTTCTTTACACAAAATTCAATGCTATGTTGCTAGCCTAATAATCATCTTAAACTTATACAAAATGTTAAACTGTGTAAACACTTTTCTTATGCTTACTGAAACAATAACATTTTCCATAACCACTCCATAAAAATCTGAACTTTGGCAAATCAGTGAATCATTGACACCAGTGGTATTTAGAAATAAATGAAGCAAGAAAAAACATACAAGAAAATTTATGTCAATTTTTTAAAAAGAATTAATGGCAATGAATGGTTTTTGTATGGAGGGATAAAACATTCCATTGTCCACAGTGCTTATCCTTTCTAATTTGCAGAATTGTACCTTTGCACTTTACATAGTCTCTTTCAAGTTTAGTGACACTATGTACAAAAAGCCTAGTCTGTCCTGCACTAGCCCCTAAGAGTTGAACAAACAAATGGAAAGAAGCAGGAAGGGAGAGTAGGGAGAGACAGCGAGAGGTAGAGAGAGAGAACTTACTTTGTGTCACTGCGGTGTCAGGCTCTTTCTTTCCCGTGCCCTAGGGCTTTCAGGCTTGAAGCCAGCACGACGTCACAGCAAAAAGTGTGTCACATCCTACTCCGAAAAGTGGAGCACTCCACAGCATTTTTTTAAACCTTAGACTTCCTTCTTACCATGATTGCAAAACTTTCCCACAATCACTGATAGAAAAGCTTTGCAAAGGAAGGCAGGTTTCTTGTGTTGTCATTACTTTGGCAGCCTGCCTGCAAGCATGCTAGTGGTGCCAGCCTCTCCCGAGAGGAACAACTTGTTTTCTTCACTCTTTTTTTTTTTTTCTTCCCCTGAACACTAAAGCTGCTTTAAGCTTCTCTCCAAAGGGGACTCCCTACCACCCACCCAAGAGCCATGGAGTGGCCCAGCTCATGTACAAGAGGTCTGACTGAGAGAGCACGCTCACTTTTTCCAAGTGTCTTATCTGCAGCCTCAATAACTTGCACTTCTTGGTGCAAGTTATTGAGGGTCAGCAAAGATAGTAAGGGATGACCTAGCTCCTCTAAGGGCATGAATTGCGTATTGACATCTGCCAGTTTTTGGTATGAGCCCTGTGTGTCACAACCCCAATGGAGAGGTGCAAGAGGGCTACTCTTATGGAGACCTAAAGAGAAGCAGATGCCCTCAGGAAATCACAGCCTCCCGTCAGATCTTCTGCTTATTATAAACCAGGGTTAGTTAACACAACAACAGGCAGTTCCTGCAGATGCCAACAGGAGATGTGGGATGACACGGCTATCCCTACAAGCTGACTACAGACTGGCCAAACAGAAAGAGTAAATCTCTTACACACCGCTAACCAACCACACGTAGAAAATCAGCTGTCACGTCTAACAGGGTGCATAGAGAACGCAAATCCACCTAATCTGTGTCTTCTCTGGAGTATAACTCTCCAGCGCAAGGAAAGATTCTGACCTAGAAGTCATTACTGGAAATACCAACAGAGTCTTAAGAAACAGTGTTTGGTCTTCTGGTTCCATGTAACAGCACAGTGCTCGCTTTCGCAGAAACTTGAATTACAAAATCAGCTTCATGTCTAATTAAAAGACCATTCTAGTGATTTCTAAATATAGAAAAAGAGGTTTATGATTCAAGAACTTCAGGAATCCTGGAAGGAAAAACCATTGCCCTACCATCCCTTTTCTTTCCAGCAAAAGTTAAACTTTGACAAAATTTGTATGAAAAGCCTTGATTAGCTTTTTCTGTTTAAAAATGCATTAAAAGATTTACTAAAGATTAAATTAACTCAATGAAATACATGTAAATAAATTATTTACTCATGACAGCCAAAGGAAACAGTAAACTTGCCAAGATTATAAACAAGCAAGTTCTCTCTTTCCCCCAAAGCTTGGCAATCAGCTTCAGACAATCATTTTATCTGACATATTCACACTTGCTATCGGATTTTGCTTGATAAAATTTTACAAATTTTAATGTAATGATTATATGTTTATTTATTTATTATGGGTCCTTATTTAAAGTTTTCATTTTTTCATTTTGCCAGTGGGATTTTTTTCTGTCACCAGATACTTAGTAAGCAAATCAAAACAGGCCTTTTCTACCATTTAGTAAGAATATATGCAACACAGAAAGATGTTATTTCTGTAATGGTTTTAATTGCAATGTTCCTGCATTAGTCTTTAAATGCTAACTTTTTGTTTAATTAATTTAGATTTAACACCAGGGAAGAATGTACATTATTGACACTTTGTTTCTCTTAAAAGAAATCAGAATACAGGAAATGAGATCAAACCTATTCTTCAGATACAACAATCCATTCTCATACTTTTATTTTGGTGAAGAAGAGTTTTGTTTGCCTAGTTCTTAACGCCTTATTTATTATTTTTTTAAAAAATCTTTAAAATGCTTAGATTCATTCACCAGAATATCACTAGAATAAATCAGAATCTTTTTCATCTTATAATTTCAAATTTACGTACATTACAACCTGTGTTTGGACTGATTTTAACTATGAAGATATTCCGAAGTTTGAGGAAAAACATACATGAACATTAGCAATGGATCTGTTATTTATCATTGCTGTCAGCTTGCAAAGAGATGGAAGAACAGAAGTCTGTTGGAAAGATAACTGCAAGCCCATTGTCTATCAGGGAAGAAGGCAAAGCACAGTTCTCAAAATGAGACACGCAGTAAAATCCTATCAGCACTTCCATAAATGTATTTTAAAGTTGAATACAAAGAGGTTTATCTATAGAGGGCATGGCACTTCTTGTGATTGTCGCACACAGATGGTAGGATACACCTACGAGGCAGCACTGCATGGATTCTACGCAGACACTTCCAGATGAGCCACTCAATCAGTTTCTCTTTATAGTCAGAGGAGGAAAAAGAAGCATTCCCAAAGGTGTGAGTTGTCTGGTCTATTTTAGATACTTACTTTAGGTATGAGAGGAGATGAACTCCAGATATGGCTGTGAAAAAAGGCTAGACAGCAAGATCAGCTTTTGACAACGGAAAGTCCGGAGAGATGAATCCCACTATGAAAAACTTCAGTGCTCCCATGAAAATATTCTTCTGTAGCTTTTGCAAACTGAGCTCCAGTGTCTGCGGCAGCATGTGCTGTCGTGCCTGTCCATGCAACTCGGCTGTGATATGGTAGCTGCTAACAGACGAGGAAAAGGGCACTTGTTGTGGAAAGACAGTCCTGGGGAGGCAAGCCGCAGCCACCAGATCCCAGCCAGCCCACGAGCACGT